CGTTCGCTTGTGCTGCTCTTATAGTTGCTACTACAATTTTCCGAAAATTCTGATTCACCAAAATTTTCTCGTTCAGCGTCAAGAAATGAATTTGCCTCTTCTGCTAATGAACTGAGAATATTAAAACATTCATTTACGTTATTTTCGTCACTGACAATAGCGGCGACTAAGGCAGAGTCGAGAGGTGGGCAGAACATTGACTATTAATGAAAAACAATAAATATATATAATTTTGTAAAGCAAATAAGATGTGAGTAAGCAAAAACCAAATAAATCACTTTATTAAACTTTAGACCAATAATAATTTGATAATTTTCAACTAAAGTTGACAATTTTTAAGTCCCTTTTTTTCTTTGAATTCTACATGTAAGCTTAAAAAAGCTTTAAATTATCAAAATTGGTTAGGGTGTTATTCATTTTGAGCTAAAAACAAAAAAGTGATTCATTGTTTTCTATCCCATGGATTAATATGGTTCTCGTATATAATACGCCTTTCCAACAAGGTTAAACATCTAAATTACGTTCTCACGCATCTCACCTCGAATTGTTTTTGCAAGGCGTCCATCGTATGAAAGTTAGGTGTCTATAAATTTCCAAATTTTTGATATCAGATATTTAAACCAACGCAATGAAATGGTGTAGATGCGCTAAGTCGGAATTGAGAAATGGTAAAATATTGTCAATGTTTCCGCAAACAGCAACGATTAAAGTTGTGCTACGAGACACAACATTTCTAATTAGGAAATTTGCTATATATATTTATATGACGAACTCCTTTTTTATTTTCGACAATCACATGACTATCGTTTGTCTTCCCAACGAAAATTCTATGGACAGTGATTTAAGAACAATGCAAATTGGTTAGTACTATAGATGGATTTTTAATAATAGCACGTGAATTTGCACTATTCATAAGCACTTTTTATTTGTTACTTTTTATTATTGTCCAGAGCGAAGTTTATTTATTAAAATTATAATATACTGTATATATGCTTGGGGAAATCCGACTCCAGAAGTCGAGTCAAAACAAAAACTCATCCTGTGAAACCACAGTTCAAAGTTTGAACCTTGTATTACTTAAATAATGTGGTGTTACGTATTTCACGCAACCGCATAAAAATTCGCGGTCTCGTGATGATATACGCTAAAATTTGCTAAACAACGCGTTTTTCGATCAAAAAATTAACTTTTGGCGTTAGGATAAGGATGAGCATTAAGATGATAGTATAAAAGGCGGGGTATATAGCAAAATTTGGCAAGGAATTTTTAAATTGTGAGTTATGGACGATTTTTTAACGTCACACTTGATCCTGTGTCGTGATTGGTTCAAAATCACGTGTCCGCGGACATTTTATGAACTACCCCAAGAGCACCACCAAAAATTTTTTGGTAACAAATTCTTAAAAGTTTGTTAATATAAGGGTTAGCGTTTGTATTTGAGTTTGATGTTAACAAATTATATAGTAAAATTGCCCAAGAAAAACTTTTTATTAGAGCACTAAAGATGGTTTCTTATAAGGATTTTTAAGTTAAAATGTTTGTTTTTAATTTTTCTGATTGTGTGATGTTAGTATTACGTTACACCTGATTTTCAACTGTGATTGGCTTTTGGTCACGTTCTGAAAAATTTTTGGTGGTGTTCTTGGGGTAGTTACATTTTATGCGGTTTCTAAATTAAGACTTGACTTTTGGAGTCAAGTTGGACCAGATCGAACTTTTCATATCCCTATTTGGGATGCATACTATTGGTCTAATTACAGACATAATGCAGGTCATTAGTAAATTCTAATAATAAAGATTTTTATACATAGATGATAGTAAAACATAATACAATTCAAGCTGTAATAACTTACGAACTTACATTTGTTATGTTCATTTTAGCATGTTTTTTAAAGTAATAATGTCTTTTTTTTTCATTGTTTGGAGTGCTTGAGGATAATATTATCGCACCTATTCATTGACTCAATAATAGGTGTATTTAATAGTTCCTATTATAGTTTGGAGTATATCGGCAGACTCTCAATTTCTATACAAAGTTTTTGTTCTTGATGTATTTTTAATAAAAACATCAAAAATGTAATATTGAAATTTTTGTTTGTCACTATTGCATGTATAACACAACAGATCTCTTATACAGTCAGAAATTTTACCAAAAATAGATAGTATCAATCACACCTTTTATGGTATAGAAACATTGATCAGATGATTCTAATCATTTTGGTTATACAAAAATTGTGTAATATCACCTGTTATCAACCAATCAAACTGCGGCTTTTACTGAGAAAAAAAACATAGTAATATACGATTTAAAGATTTAATAATAAAAAATTGTCAAAATTTCACTAAAATCTAGAATTATATAAAATTTTATATCGTAAACAAAGTTTATTAATGAATCAAGCCAATTTATTTAGTATAAAAACCCGTTACAAATGTTGTTTACATATATTAAACGCAAGTTTGAATAAATATATCTCGTCAACTAGTAATTCAAATCAAATAATTTTTATACTATTTGGTTCGTTTCATTGAGATAAACCAAATAATATATAAATTATTTAATTTTAATCGATTTAATATGAAATATTAATAAGCTCCCAAACCTCTACAGACAAGGTCGAGAGTTTGAGTCAGGCTGATAGCAAATTTTGAATTTGCTACTGTAACCTTATAGAGCTATAATCGGATATGGAGCCCTGTGGAAAGTCCAAGTACAAGTATGGTTTAGAAATAGAAATTTTCAAAAGAAGTCCTAATCATAGAGTGCAGACATTATATATGACAGCGGCGTCACAGAAGGTCTAGATTATAGAATATTGTGCAAGTTAGTTCTCTGGTTGGTGTGACTCAGAGGCAACACCAACATCTTTTTACCCCCATATTAGGCAATATCAACATCTTCACATCCAACTTGTAGGGTACTTGCTTGAAAGGATAATCAATGTATTGTGTACATTAGTTCCAATTTGAAAATGGTGCTGAGTACTTGCTTGGGAGAGTGATACGATACTACTGAAACTGGAATGGTGAGAGAAGTGATAAACATATAAAAGGACTGTGGTAAAGGATTGGCTTTACCTAAACAAGAAGTATCTCTAGCAGCAGAGAACAACTAGCTAAAGAAGATAATCTTATAGAGGCAGGCTAGCTAATCTAGTATATCTAAAGGCGCCAAGTCGGAGCTCTGGTCATATCTATATGGAAGTTTTTGACGAAAAAAGCCAGAATACACCAACAATAATGCAACACCAACTAATGATGAAGAATCAAGTTGGAAGTCAAGGTGAATTGGGGTACGCCTCCTAGTAATATGACGCAAGGCCTATAGTTAGAAGTAGAACTGCTTGCTACTTAAGGAATTTCATGGTGTTAGGCTGGTCTTTAACAAGATAGGTCATTAAAGTAGCTACGCAATATAATTCTGGTAATACACTATATAAGGAAGTACAAATGGATTAGTTAGTACCACTATACTAGAAAAAGAATGTTAAGTCTTGGGTAGGCAAACCAGTGGCAATAGCAGGGCTTGGCTTGAGATACAGGTTAGTAGTACCTGGACAGATAAGTGGGAGATTAAGGCATTCATGAAAGAGATGGTGCATGAAGAGATGCAAATCAGTTAAGGTGGTGCAAACCCAAGATAAGTTTTTAATTGACAATGTAATATCAACTTAGTCATATGGCGAACCTAACTAGGTAGCAAGTCCTGGCTTGAGATACGAGGCTGTAGAAAAGCCACCTGCATCAATCATAGTTGCATAAATAAAGTATCTTAGTGGGAACTTGCAGTGGATTATGCTTGCAGGTATACCAAATTGGAAGCTCATTAGGAGCAGACACCCAACGTACCAAATTGGAAGTTATAACTGTTTGTGTGAGATATAGAGGAAATATGATATTATTAGAAATAGTTAGTTAAGAAGTGCAAAACTAGATAAGACATGTGTGGGTATGTAACACTCTAGTAGGTTTAGGTCGTAGATAAATTAGTCTAAATCTTTGTAGTGATATGTTAGCGTATATATAAAGGACTTGTCGTAATAAGTATATGTTAATAAAAACCAGAGCCGTGACCTCATCTTAACATTTAAAAAAAAAATAATAATAAAAACTATGAGATATCAATAGTAATATAACTTTGCTGTTTTATATACACCATTTAATGATAGCTGATTAAATAAAGCTAAATTTTATTTATTCTATAATTATAAATGTATCTAAACTTGTTGCTGTAAGTTTCATATCTAGAAAAAAAAATCTTAAAACATTAGAAAAATGAAATAAATTAAAAAGAAAAAAGAAAAAGAAAAAGAAAACTAAAGCTAAATTATAGATTTGTATTCAAAGCTGATTTAAGTTAATTGTAATATAAGTGAAGGTTTTCAAGCTATGACATACGATATAAATACACATACAAAACATGAAAAACTTTACAACGTTACAGAAATGTTTAACATTAATAATACAAGAAAAAATAGAAAGAAGTGTAGAAACTAAACCAACCTTAGTGAAATTCTAAGAAATTTTCATGTCTCATCTACTTTACCAAAAAAGGTTGATCCTGACTGATTATTGACTGATCCTGAAACTGTTGGTTCTTTACTCTTTGTGTAAATAGTTAATATTTGAGTTAGATATTACAAATGTGTGAAAAACTTCAGCCAAAAAGTGTGATTATTAACCAATCATCACTCAGGAGAATATTTCAGAATCGATTTCTATTTTTAGTAAAATCTCTGACTGTTATAACAAGGTTTAGTTTTTTAGTATTAAGATAAAAATACTAAATAATTTGTAAGAAAACAAAAAAAACATTGTTACTTTAAAGAGTATGTTAAAATAAACCAAAAAATATAATTTTATTTGTTAGTTTAAAAGTTATTATGACTTGAATTTTATTAGATACAGTATAAATACTAATTAATAAAATTTTAATTTTAATATATAGCTCAGCTAAGGATTTTTAAATTTGTATAATATAGATTATTTCTTTTTTTATAAAAAAGTTTTAATTAGAAAATTTTTTTTAATTCTATGATACAAAATTTGGATTAATTATTATTATTTAGTATACAACTACTTTTTAAAATCTTAAAAATTCTTACAGATTTTTAGACTATATATTTATAAAATAACTTTTGCAAAAAAAATTAGTTTTTAAGATATTAAATTTTTATATAGTAAATAAAAATAAAAATAATTTATTTAATTTTTTACCTACTTTTAAAAAATATTTTTTTTAATACTTTAGAATTAGAAATTATATAAAATTTAATAAGAAAATTTTTTATTTAGAGTTTAAAATGTTGTTTTATAGGCAAAATTTGAAATATTAGCATTTTTTATAAAATTTTTTGTTATATTACATATACATTATATATAATTCTGCAAATTTATTAACAAATTAGAAGAATAAGATTTTACTTTAAATGAAGAATAAATGTATTTATAAAAAGTTAAATTTTTTATGGAGACCCGTCGCCATAGCGACCCTATATATAGCAGCCAATCAAATTTAAGGTTAGTAAATTTTATTTTTTATTTTTTATTATAAAATTTAGAAAA